ACGAATTTTTTTTTTTTTTTTTTTTTTTGTGACATCTCATATCATACCATTTAACTTAACGGCTTGCAAATGAAATAGTATACACACAGTCAAATGTTTGCATTTTCAACTAAAGGCATCTATTACTTAAGTTCACTCAATCGAGCAATTCTATAATTATTCTTGCCAAAGAGCCTATTTAGAAGAAAACTTGAGCTTGTTGTGACATATCAAACTATTGTCTATTCTGACTACAATTTTTGCTACCATTTTGGTTCCAGAAAGGTATTGCCTCCAAACTCGCAAACAATGAACCCGCACCAACATCTTTGTCTCAAAGGCAACATATCTCCTTCTAGCATCATCGACTTTCTACTCTCATATGCACATAAAGTAAGATGCCACATAAGGAAAATTTGAGGCATACGTTTCAATTTCAAGTTACATCGACAATTTTAATTGATCCATACATAAGAACACTAGGCCTTGTAAGAAACCTATGTGGGTCTAATGAAGCTCTATTAATTTTGGTGGAGTCATAAGATACACATTTTCGGCAGATGATGAATGTAAGACTTGCTTAATTGCTTTGTTGTAAACTTAAATATTTGATTCACTTGTACGAGTTAACTCGACTTTGATACCAATTGTCACAATCACACACTTTTGGGGCTCGTGGCGCAATTATACGATACATGTTCTCATCTCTGAGTAAGTCAACCAACTAAAACTTGGATCGCTGGAGGCACAAATTACGTAAATTCGTAAAACATTTTGGAAAGCAATTTTAGAAAGGATCTGACAACTAGTCAAATTGTCTTTGAAAAGTGACAATGAGGAATGATTAAAGTCAAATTATCTTTGAAAAGTGCAACCATCAAAATTGGTAACGAGTCACAGGCCAACAACATTAGAAGCAAAATATTAAACTATACTATAATGAAAGACATACAACGAAAGCAAAGTAAACGAGTTTAAAATGAATATGCAGTCTCAGGCAAAATGCTCTAGACAAACATGAATGTGAATAGTACATCCAATCCCGTGTTTGTTTTTAAGCCATCTATAGGGTACAGCGATATGTTGGCTCTAAACCATTAGTTTTCTTAAATGAACTAGAAATTCAATCCAATCCAAATTACAACGTTTAAATCTGATTCCTACACTTACAGTCATGCGTTTATGAAATGGAGCGTTCAAATCTTCAATTATAGAATCGAAAGTAAATGCAAATTTATTAAAGTTACGGGCATTTCTTTTCTTAAATTTCTTTTCTTTTAAGAAAAGAAATAGTAATGTAGATTGTTTTTATTTTATTATTATTTTGTAATTATAATCTTAAGGAGGGTTTGTATATATTTATATATATATATAAAAGTATTTACCAACTAAATAAATATTTGAATTCAAAATAATATAAACTATTTTATTGACATTTTTCAAATTTGATTCTCGTGTAGGAAAAACGAGCATAATCAGAGATTGAATTAGAAAACCACAGTTTGAAGAAGCGAAGCAACAACAAGTATGAATAATAATTATGAGTTGGTGGTGTGGGTTGCGCTGCCCTGCCCTGCCCTGCCCCTTGAGAAGTTTGGTAGTAGCTAACACAAAACCCACTGAGTCGCCCGAATTCAACATTTTTGACTCATAACTTCTTACCTATTTGTTTATTAGCGAGTGGCGGATGGAGTACCCACCGAAGATCAAAAATCGCTTTCCTTCCCCTTCCTCCCCTCCCCTTCTTCCCTTTCCCTTGGTGACGTTTTGTCAAACCAGAAATTAATTAAAAAAGAAGGCCCATGGGGTCCTTGACGTTTTGTGGGATGTGGTCGAAATTTTGCAGAGGACCCATTTGCAGAGGAGGATCAAAACAAATTTGTTGAACTCATCACACGCTTCCCCCTTCTGGGTTTGATCCTTTTCCCTTCACTTTCTCTTCTTCTTCTTCTTCTTCTTCTTCTTCTTCTTCTTCTCCTCCTCCTCCTCCTCCTCCTCTTTTATGACCAACAACTGCTTTTGAATCAATTTATCCCCCCCCTTTCAGCCTGGAATTGAGTGGAATTCAAGTATCCTTTCTCTTACGCTTTCATTTCACTTTTCTATTCCCTTTTGTTTTCTGCTTTTCCTCTGCTGAATTCTTCTTTTGACTTTGCTTGTCCAGGAAAGTTTCAACTATGTTCAGGGGGAAAGTTGGGGTATGGATATGCTGAGGAGAATATTTTTTGTCATTTTTTCTCTCTTTTGGTGATTATGCATTGGTGGGTTCCCAACTTCTATCTGATCTAACATTTTTCCGATCCAACAGTCTCTGCTCCTTCTTTCCCTTTTTCAGGTGGAATGGAATGGAATGGAATTGATTTCTCTTTTCCCTCATATTGTTCTTCCTTCATTTCCCTCTTGTCTTTCCTGTCAATACTCGTGTTTTGATCCAAATTTTAGTTGTTTTTCCAACGCTTTGCCTTTTTCTTTCCATTATTGGCTGTTGGTCATGTGAATTTCAGATGGGTTTATCAAGATTCTATTGGTTTTATCTTGTACTACCTTCAAGAAGAATTGACTTGCTTCCTGTATCTGCAATTTTGGAAGTTTCTTGATTTAATCATTTTAGAATCTTCTGTTGATTCGGAAGATCTGTTCTTTATCTGTTCTGGGTTTAGAGTGTAATAGCAGTGAAAATGTGAGATCCCACGTCCATTAGGAAGGAGAACGAAACACCCTTTATAAGGGCGTGGAAACCTCTCCCTATCGAACTTGTTTTAAAAACTTCGAGGGGAAGCTCAAAAAGGATAATATCTGCTAGCGGTGGGCTTGGGCTGTTATAGAAAATTTCCATTGAAGATTTACTTCTCCTGCAAATGTGGTATTAGCTTTGGTTCGTATTAGGGAACTTTGGGACAGAAATTGTTGATTTCTCTGCTGTATGGATTCAGTTGCTACCAGTTTCTTATTGGTGTGTTGCTTGCTGCAAGCTTATGTGTTTCAACTTTTAAACGCGTAGAGATTGACGTAAAGAGCTATTGAAAAGAATTTATGTAACGTTTATACGTTTTCAGAATTTCGAGTGGATGATTTCTAGTTCCTGACTGAATAACTTGGTGCAGGAAAAAGTATAGTAGCTAAACAATCCAATAGTGAAGTTTCTAGTATGGGTTGGTGGACTAAGCTTTTCAAAGGCCACAAAAGCTCATACAGGGAAAGATATGGAGACGATAGAATTTGGGATGAACCTCGAACCTCGGTGGTAGGAATCTAGTTTTTCATCTCTTCATCTTTATTCCGCTGTTTCTGCAGATCTGTCATAGGTGGATAGTATACACTACAGAGTAAAATACTTCTCGATACTCGGTGCTGATTTGTGTTCGTGGAAAACTTGACAGGATGAATTGACAGAACATGAACGAGAGGAGATTGATTATGCAATTGCACTATCACTTTTGGAAGAAGATCATAAAGGGAAAGCGTTGACAGGTGAATTTGGTTGCACTCATTTTGCATTCTATGATTTATTGACTTGTCTTTCGGGGAGTTCTGAGGACGCATTAAGCGTGTTCGTCGCTTGGTGTGTGACTGGGGCAGCACGAAGATAATATATCATAAAATGATGCATGACACTTCAGAAATTAACAACAATGATACAATTACAAGCTTGCCACATTATATCAAGGGTTCATTCATATTGTTTTTTTTTTGTTATTTGTCAATTGCAGAAGAAGAAGCTCACAGTGATGAAGATGAACACAGTACCAAAGCTGAATCAGAGGATGATGAACAAAGTACGAAAGGCGAGTCAGACGATGACGATCAAATTACTAAGTCTCAATTGGAGGAGGACGAGCGACTTGCTAAAGCTCAAATGGAGGAAGATGATCGACTTGCCAAAGCTCAAATGGAAGAAGACGAGCGACTTGCTAAAGCTCAAATGGAGGAAGATGAGAGAGCTGCCAAAGCTCAATTGGAGGAAGACGAGCAGGTTGCTAGCACTCTAGTGGAGGATGATGAGAAGGTTTCCACATATCAAGCTGAAGAAGATGAACAGTTAGCTAGAGCTCTCCAAGAAAGTCTAAATATGGAGCCACCACCTCCTAGATTTGATAGTGGAAATATTTTCAATCATTATCCTTTCTTCTATCCATCAGGATACAGGTACATATGGCCAATCATGCATATTCCTTTGCCTCAAGACACTACTTTAGCCATGTTTAGTCTGCTTTGATCGTGAACTCGTATCTCGTTGGTCTGGTCTTATGGGAACGATGTCTGAAATCTAGCTTAGTAACTTTTCATTTGGTCTGGTCTAAACTCGTATTTCATGTAGGGTCTGTGCTGGTTGCCATACTGAGATTGGTCACGGGCGGTTTCTAAGTTGCATGGGAGCTGTTTGGCATCCAGAATGTTTTCGCTGCAATACTTGCAATGAACCCATAACTGATCATGAGGTGGATATACAATTGAAGTTTCCTTTCGAACATGTGGGTATTGATTTCTCGTTAAAATGAATCTAAATTTTGACAGTTCTCGATGTCCGGGAACCGACCTTATCACAAATCCTGCTTTAAGGAACAACATCATCCAAGATGTGACGTTTGCAGCAACTTTGTAAGCCTCTCTTCTTCTGTTTGATGGATTCATTCATTGTTTCGATTTATTCCTCTAAAGAACGTCTTGTCGTTTGAGAATGATATATGAATATCTTGTCGTTTCTTTCACATCTGTCGATTATTCAACTTTATAACCTCGAAATATATTGATCCTGATCTTTTCCTTAATTTCCTTCTGCACAGATTCCTACTAATTCTTCTGGTCTTATAGAGTATAGAAAACATCCTTTCTGGTCACAACAATATTGTCCTTCACACGAAAAAGATGGAACTCCGAGATGTTGTAGCTGCGAAAGAATGGAGGTGATCTTCAAAATTATATTCTACCCCGACCCCTTTTATCGATCACACGTGTATAGTATGAAGAAACAAGATCTGGAGAAAACGGCTCTCTTCATCTCAGTTTTAACTTTTGAATTGATGCAGCCAAGGGACACTAGCTACTTGTTACTTGATGATGGTCGGAAGCTCTGTTTAGAGTGTTTGGACTCTGCAATCATGGATACTCATGAGTGTCAACCTCTATACCTCGAAATTCAAGAATTCTATGAGGGTCTGAATATGAAAGTGGAACAACAAGTTCCCATGTTGTTGGTTGAGAGGCAAGCGCTAAACGAGGCCATGGTCGGAGAAAAGAATGTAAGGACTAATGGACCTTGTCTGTGTCGAGCAATGCACAACGTTGTCATCCTCGTCAAGAACTCATTTGAATTTTGTTTGTCCATTTGAATTTTGTTTGTCCATTTGAATTTTGTTTGTCCATTTGAATTTTGTTTGTCTTTGGATAACAGGGTCATCATCACTTGCCCGAAACTAGAGGACTATGCTTATCAGAAGAGCAGACTGTTGCTACTGTATGACATTTTCCTCAAGTTCCAATTACTCGAATTTAACTTAATCGATGTGATACGATATTATATTCTCAACAAAATCTGCAGATCTCCAAGAGGCCGAAGATTGGAGCAGGTTACCGCATAATAGACATGTTTACCGAACCTTATAGATTAGTTCGTCGTTGCGAAGTTACTGCTATTCTCGTTTTGTATGGCCTTCCTCGGTACGATTTCCTCGACACACTTGATGTACATTACTATGTGTTCTTCCAAAGGATGAAGAAGCAAACTCGTTTACATCTGTGAGTAACTTGGTGATTTCAGGTTATTGACAGGATCTATTCTGGCTCACGAGATGATGCATGCATGGCTCAGGCTTAAAGGTTGCTCTTTGCTTCATAATCCTTTTTCGATTTCATGATTTAACTTGTTTACACGACTCACGAACAGGCTATCCCAATTTGAAACCCGAGGTCGAAGAAGGCATATGCCAAGTATTGGCTCACATGTGGTTGGATTCCGAGATGTATTCCATCCCGGGAAGTGGTGTTGCCTCGACATCTTCGTCTTCGTCCTCATCTTCATCGTCATCACCTTCATCATCATCTTCTTCGTCTTCGACGTCTTCAAAGAAAGGTAAACGGTCGGACTTCGAGAAGAAACTCGGGGACTTTTTCAAACACCAGATCGAGTCGGATACATCATCGGCATATGGAGATGGATTCAGGGAAGGAAACCAGGCCGTTTCCAAGTATGGTCTAAAGAGGACACTCGATCACATTCGGCTGACTGGAACCTTTCCATAGGGTAACATTCGATTAAACTCTTAGCTTTTTTATATAATCCGAGTTCATACAAAAACACATTATAGTACATAATTAGAAAGAATAAGAAGAAGAAGAAGAAGAATAAGCATTGAAAGAAGTGTGTAATTATTGTGAAGTTGTGTTTGAAAAGTGTAGCATAAATGTAACTGTCTTATTTGTATGGCATTTACAAACAACGTATGAGGGTGAATACAAAGTTTTGTTGTTATTAATTCATAAAAATTATTATGGGTGGGTGAGGTTATTTGCGTGAGAATTGGCTTTTTTTTTTTTTTTTTTTTTTTTTTTTTTTTTTTTTTTTTTTTTTTTTTTTTTTTTTTTTTTT